GAGAAGAGTGGATGGGCTAAGGGACACCTCTGCAGGGACATGTTGTCTGGGAGTAGGAGGGAACATTGCAAGCGGAGGTGGCGGGCAGCAGAGAGATGTTTGGGCTGGACTTGGTTGAGGATGGCAGCAATGTCATGAGGGGCAAGGATGACAAGATGATGGCCAAGTACCAAATCATTGGTCTTATCAATGAGGGCATGTGCTGCAAATACTGCTCTGAGGCAGGAGGGGCCTCCCCTAGCCACAGGGTCTAGTTGGCAAGAGTAATAGCCAATGGGACACTGGCGTGAACCCTGAGACTGAGTGAGGAACCCAGTGGCATGTCCCTGTCTCTCTGACACGAACATCTTAAAGGGTTTCGGTAGTCGGGGAGGCCCAGGGCCAGGGCAGAGGAGATGGCACGTTGCAGGGCGTAGAAACTGTTAGAGCCTCAGGGGACAGGGAAAAGGGTTCAAACTTAAGGGCCTCATAAAGGGGTTGCATGAGGAGGGAGGCCTCTGGGATCCAGGCCCTGCAATAGGAGATCAGGCCTAGGAAAGCATGGAGAGGTTTATGGGCTGTAGGGGGAGCAATGGCCTTGATTGCTTTTACCCAGTCCCGGGTAAGATGGCAGGCCCCATGTGAGAGGCAGAGACCTAGGAAAACCACAGAGGGTAGGCACCATTGTAGTTTCTGCTTGGAGGCTTTGTATCCTTGCTCCGCGAGAAAGCATAGGAGATCTTCAGAAGTACGCTCAGCAGTAGGGAGGTCATCAGCACATAGGAGGAGGTCATCCACGTATTGAAGCAGGACCACATCGGTATGGGCCTTTTGCCATGAGTCCAGGATCGAAGCCATAGCTCTTGCAAACTGGCTGGGAGAGTTTTGTGCACCTTGAGGCATGACAGTCCAGGTGTATTACAGGCGTTCAGGGGTGAAGGCAAATAGATATTGGCATGAAGGATCCAGAGGTACACTGAAGAATGTGTTAGCTAGATCCACCACTGTGAAGTACTTCGAGGTAGGAGGGACCCCTGACAGGAGTGTGTGCGGGTTAGGCACAATGGGAGTTTCTAGAATGGTAATTTCGTTAACAGCACGGAGGTCCTAAACCATCCTGTACTTCTCGGGTTCCCCATTTGCGGTTTTCTTTTCCACGGGGAACAGGGGAGTATTACAAGAAGACACACAGGGGACCAAGGCACCATTTGACACTAAGGTTTTAACCTGTTGAGAGATGGCAAGGGCTTGGGCAGGCTTCAGAGGGTATTGCAGTTTACGAGGCAGGCTTGCCCCTGGGATTAGCTTCACTATTACTGGAGGGACATGCTGGCATCCAATGACCTCTGGGCCTGTTGACCACAACTTGGGAGGTACTCTGGCTAAGGCACTGGGGGAGGTGTCTGACACCCCTATATTCCTGACAGGGTCCTCTATGTGGAGCAGGAGGGGAGGGAGCAAAGGGCTGATGCATCAGCAGCAGATAAGGGAGAAGACAATTGAATGAGTCCATCTGGGGTGAAGGTGATTGAGGCCTGCAAGCGGGAGAGGACATCTGCACCCAGCAGGTTTAGAGGGCAGGTTGAGGATACCACAAAGCGGACCAGGAGGTTAGGGAAGGAGCCAACCTTCAAAGGCAGGGTTAGTGGGTTATTGCGAGGGGTACCATCCACTCCTATGCAGGAGACATCAATATTGAACAGGAATGAGGAGTCAGGCAGGTCTTGTTCTCTAATGGCGCTTCTAGCTGCGCCTGTGTCAACTAAAAAGGTGGTCGGGTGGCCTTCTGTAGGCAGGACTACCGTGGCTAGGGGCCCCCCCCTTATCCCCTGAAGACACTGCCATGACAGGGGAAGGTGACACAGGTTTGCCAGCTTCCTAGCACAGGAAATCCAGGTGAGCTTGGTCAGGGCTGCGGAGGGGCGACTGGCTGCGTGGAGGCTGGCTACGGGGTAGGGCGGTCTCCCATCCCGTGGGGGAGCCTGTCTAGGGGCTCTTGGGGCGCTACACTCCCTTTTGAAATGACCTGGTTTTCCACAGTTAAAACATTGTCTGGGGGGCGGGAACAGGGGCGGAAAGAGTGGGCATAAGGGGGGAAGTGGGGGAATAGAAAGTTCCGTCCGCTCTAAGGACGGGATAGAGCTGAGTGTGAGCTATAGGGGTGGTGGGTGTCAACACTGGTGGTAAGGGAGTGGTCACGGAGGCTGGGCCAACCTCCTTCCCTTTGTGCCAGGTGCCATTATAAGGCGGTGGCTGACATGTGCTTTCAACATTACAAATGCCTTTGTGATATACATATAATGTGAGACATATTAGTCATAATAGGTAGTATTTTTTTTAAAGATTACAGTACAGAGAATCATAAAGCATATGCAGCAGGTGGTGCACTGGATCCTTGTAGCAAGCTAAAGTTGGAGTACAGCGCAAAATGAAACGTGTTGGACCGCTGAAAATGTAGATGTTGCTCTCTAATTTACAAACAAAAATATATTTACAGTATGGATCCTCTGCAACAAACACACAGGGCGGGGAAAATGTGGTGCTTGATGTTTTACACAGTTAATCCTTTGTTCAATAGCATTTTTCCTGTCTTTTTTAAGATGCTTTGTACCATGAGAAATACAGTGTCCTAGAAAAGTAACAGTGGGAATGCATGCCTGTAGTTTGGCCTTGGTAGCTTTGCACCCTGCTTGTGCCAAAAATGTAATAAAGACAGGGTGTGCACAGTACATGACTCCTGATCAGGGCTGTCGATTTCTTATGGGAAAGCAGCAGTATCTTGTGAAGGAGGGGTAAGCGGGGGTGCTGCTGCTGCAGCTTGAGGTGAGAAGGACATTTACAGTTTCATTTGATGTGTCCCTTTCTGCCACAGTTCCAGTATTCTACTTGCTGGCGGCTATTGGCCTGCCTGGGGGGCAGTTACAGCCATAAGGGCTGTTAATGTCTTGCGTGTATTAGAATTAGCCTCTACCCCATGGCTACTTTAACTGTAATGCAGTGTGCGGGGGGTGGGGGGGTGTAAACCATCCATAAAACAAGTAACAAAATGTCTGATAGACAGGGGGTCTGCTTCAGAGTATCCTAACGAGTAACAGCCTATCTGAAGGCGGGCAAAAATCTTCCCACTGATTCATCTTTACCTTGCACAGTATCAGTGAGTCCCACCAAGGGTTAGGACATTCACATCTTGGGCAAATCCAGTAAGATTTCTGAGTAACTGGATAAGTAGTAGAAACAGAGGCCTTCGTCACTGCCTCTTCGCCTTCTCTTTCTTTCACTATATCACATGCTAAACTACCCTTACTGGGTTTCTCATACTTCTGTCCCATCCTCTCTAATCAAGATGCCACAAGATAGAGTAAAACAGGAATGAGAACATCTACAGTGCTCAACTGCCACGGAGGTTACCCTGCATGCGTCTTCCCAAAACGTAGACTAGTCACTGGGTCCGCCCACCCAAGGTGGCCGTAGACTGGAGCAGGGCGAGTAGTGTGTGAGCAAACACTTCTCTCAACAAAGTATACAAGAGGAAAGAAACATGACACAAACTTACACTTATTGCAAACAAAGACAAGAAACATATACAATTAACCCCTTCATGTATTTCTCTAAAAAACAAAACAAAGATAGACTCACCCTCTGCAATGCGGTGTGCTTTACCACGCTACGGCTGTACCTTGCAGAAGTTTGACCACGTCAAGTTATCCCTGTGAAATTCCCTCCCGTAATCTATCTTTCCCTTATACAAAATACATTCAGACCCAGGCGGCAGATAGTCAATATAAAGGTTCTATACAAAGAGACTCCGGGCAAGTTATTTACCTGTCTTTGGTGCCCTCCGGCAGCCGACACAGACATGGAGACAGCCCAGTCACAGAGACAGGATATAAAGGTAAGGTACTATCACAGTCATTACCGTACATCAGAGGTGATCAGTCTCCGTCCCGTCACTGCAGGTCTGCCCCGGCGTCTTCTAGGTCGGCTGTCCGCTGGGACACAACCTGGAGCCCCACGTTGGGCGCCAAATTTTTTGGACCAGACCAAATGTTTGCTTAAGTATTTGCCCCTGTCCAGATTTTAAGAATGAGAAGCGTGCACGCTGAAGAAATCACACTGACACGAAAGTTCAGATAAATGAAAACTTCCAACTGTATTGAGGGGGATGGGGCAGCCGCTTATATAGGCAAAGGAATGCATCACGTACAAACATGATTAGTAAGCATCTACGTAATTCTCTCTGTAAGCTTTTAATTGGTTAAGTTCTTAATTTGGATGTGCTTCCTCCAGGATGTTGGTGTCGTCGGCTGGGAGGGGGGAAGGGGTAGTCCATCCTGTCACATGAGTGCTTTGTTCGATGGGAGGGAGTGCTCTAGCTGCCATTTTGAGTAAGGAATGAGCACGTGTACATATAACAAATAGACATTTTATACACATTTATTTCTATCCATCACAACTATATGTACTGGTATTACAAAGCCACCAGTTTTGTTTTTTGTATTTTTATTTTACTTAGGTAAAAAACAGTTTGCACATTCTTGTTCCTTAGACTTGGAATTTAAAGGGACACTCTAGGCACCAGAACCACTGCAGATTAATGTAGAAGTCTCAGTTCTCTCGACACTTGGTTGTCAGAGTGCTCTAATTGCTTGGGTTACTAGCCAACCAACCAGATACCTTATTCTGTGGCGACCATGGGTGAAGATGGATTATTTCTTATTGTAGCATGTTTTTCATTTTTTTCCAGCACACACTACTGGAGGGGATGTCAAGTTTGCATTACCAATACATAGAGATAGTCATTAAAAAAAAAAAAATATTAAAAATAATCAAGCAACCAACTTTGCAATTATTAGACCAATTGAGATAGACTGACACAAAGTCATTATTGGTGTCAAGGAAATTATGATGGATTTGGCAACCCTAGGATCACAGGTTTGATGCAATGTATGATCAAAAGTGATTGAGAGCAACTTGAGGAATTTCAAATGAAAGCTGTGGGCAGCTGTGAGAGCTAAAGGACCCAGGGAGTTAAAATAAGATGAATCAGTAGGTATATTTGTGCGGTATGGAGCAAGTTGAATTTTGTGTCTTCGTGGTGTTACTATGGAAAAGGAATTGGAAAATGCACCTTTTTCTTGAAATGTGCCTTTTTTTTGAAGTACGTCCAGATTGCAATTTCTGTTAACAATGCTTTAGAGTAGACTACCAGCACCATAACCACTGCAATATATTTGGTGAGGGAGATCGCCTGAAGCTCTCGGCCAGTTTGCTAGCCCTACGCTGCAGGAATTAGCTCAGGAGAGATACCAGAAGATCCTTAGGAGGAGCTAAGGTAGACGCAGGGAGTAGCACCCACAGGACCCCTAGTAAGAAGTCATATTGTTACATATCACCGTTACTCCTTAGTGGCCTGAGGCACTCCTGGCACTATAACCACTCCAGTGCTCTTTTGTGATTATAGTGCTTGGAGTGTTGAGATCACTGTCATGTTGAACTTGCCTTTCTCCTAGTGCTTCCTCTTCTCTTCCTCTCTCAGAAGTTGTTTTTTCTTTTCTTTATTTCTGATCTAGTTTCTTTAAAACACAAGGTAAAGTAGGGACTACTTTGTCTTATGTGTTATTCCTACGCTTAACCTTCTTTGACCAAAGGAGGAGCTTAGGTCTGCTCCATTTCCTGTGGTCAAAGACATTTTCCCCCAATGCTTCATTCGCTGTTTGAACATCCTGATATTTAGACTAGGGCACCGTCGAATTCACCAAATTTCGTCCAAACAGAACAAGTACAGTTTGTCCATTCGTGTTAGGACAAAATTCGTGCATTGAATGAAATTCCGATCTGGTCAGTGCCAAAGCTTCATCTTGCAGCCGCTTAGTAGATAAACCCTAATTCCCATAGTATTAGGGAGCTATCTACTAAAAGGCTGAAAGATCAAAATTGGCCTTTCAGCGAACTTTACTAATACTAAGTAAAAATAACATAGTAATAGTAAATAAGGAAGATTGGAATCTTCCTTCTGCTCCTACTCGCTACGCTGCGAGTAGGGGCATGTCTACTAAACAGTGAGCCCTAATCCAATAAATAATGGGGGGATGACATAAAGCCCTCCCTCGCTCCCACCTACTTACTGTCTGTCACCTCCCCTAGCCCCCCACCCATGAGCGGCGGGTGAGGGCCCTTAAATTACAAAGCGGAGGGGGTTACTACTATTAGCAGTGGGTAGGGACCCTAAGTAACGCAGGAGACCTACAGTACTCTGATTGGTAAATATTGAGCCCTTAGCCCTTAAGATAATCTAATGGTAAGTATGATTTTTTTTTTCATTTACTAGTTGTTAGTTTTATACTCAACACCCTCATTATTTTTGTCACTTAGGGCTTCTACCCGCTGCTCATGGGTGGGGCCAGGGGAATGGGAGACAGTAGGTTCCCTCCCACTTTGTTACTTCACGGGGAGAGTAGAGGGGACTCTAGGTCCCCTGTTTAGTTAAATAGCCCCCACTCGGGGAGCACAGGTGAGGGTTGGGGGGGGGACTATGTCCCCTTCAAATAATTAATTTAATAGATGCCCAACCGTGGGGGCATGGGAGACCTGTGCTTATTGGATTCGGGGGGCTCCTTTTTTTTTTTTTTACAACAGTGAGCAGCCCCTACTAGCGGCATCGCAAGTAGGGTCATTAGGGAGATTCTAATCTCCCTAATGCCAAAATGGGGGTCATATTGACCCCCTTACAATGATGGGGGGCGTGAGAGGGTTTAGGAAACGTTTATTTTACATATAACATGAGAGAGAGCCACGAGCCGGAAGCTCCCTCCTTGTAATAAACTAAATGAACTAATACAGAAATTCAGTTTTCATTCGTTTGTTAGAAATTTCTATACATTTATTCGTCTTTTTGACGAATTAACAAATAGCCGAAATTCCCATCCGACTTTCGGACATTAGTCCTTTCCCGGGCAAGTGCGGAAATTTCACGTTGCTATCTAATGTGGGCAGTTGACGTGTCTCGCAGGGCCTTCACCTGCCCACACAAAGGAGGCGGCGCCCAGCACCTAGGGGCATTTGGGGGTGACTAGAGGGACAATAACATGTAGTGGAGTCAGGAGGGGCATTAAAAAAAAACAGAAAAACAGATGCGGCCATGACAGCTTTAAGCAACACTGCAAGGCCTATTAGTACTACAGTCTAGTGTTATAGATATGGTGCAAGGAGTACCCTGGCGCTCTCCCAGTGTTATTTGTGAAATTGTTTTAGTATGGTTTGACAACTTACTTGGGACCCCAGGCTATTCAGCTAAGACCAGTCGAGAACCTTCACCTGTTACTCCCAGTCAAGTACAGTCTTTCATTGCCTTACTTAGCTCAGTAGAGCAAGGATTGTATGAAGTCAGCAGAGAAGAAAATTGGAAGAGTGATTGTCTCAGTGGTGAAGTGCAGATATCCAATAGGAAAACCTGCCTGTCAGGGTAAATGATATGATATGATGAGAGTGACATAGTAACACAGTAATTTCTTTTTGACTCCATAATGGCAATCAGATTTCTTCTTGGATCAACACCCCACATACACTAATTATGTGTCCATTCAGAAATTTGATTTACATAAGTCATATATCAGAAATACAGCGTTGACATTGTAAATATTATGGATTGCTCTTGTAGCTAGGGATTGGATCAACTGATTGTAAATAACTCACATAAAGACTAAGCTACCCCTGTTTACCTCCCTCTTCTGTATGTTTTTATCACCCACTGCCCTTTGCCTCCTACCCAGAAGACAGTCTCAGGGGGCTGGTGTGTACAGGCGCTACCAGTGTGAGTAACCTATGTTTGCCCTGAAACTCCTGCTTGGACGCACTCAGCCCGTTATCCCGTCCTATTGTACCTTGATTTCCCCCCCCCCTTCCCAACTACCCAGGAAGGCGCTTTTTGGAGAGAAGTGACTACCCCTTGAGACTCACATTCGCTTCCTATAACCACCAGAGAGCTCCCCTTCCATAGCCCCCTTAATTCACAGAGGAATAGCCCTGACCTCTTGGAACCCTTTTCGGTCAAACTTGTTACAGCGCTCGGCTAAAACTTTAAGGCGATGGCGCTCAGGCAATACCCCATGGATCCGAGCGCCCATTCTATGAAAGTATCACTTGGATCAATGTGGTAATGACCTTTTGGGGGATATATGATATGTGGGGATACGTTGATGTTTAATGTGTGTTCTGGGGGTATTTCTATTCTACACTCCTTGTATCCAGGAGATAATTGGTTTACTGAGGACTAACTCAATTATCTCCCAGACACAGAGATGCTTGGGCAGGTTTACTGTTTTGTGAATAGGGAATAGGGACCCTTCATAAAGTCTCGACTGATGTTTGAGTATGTGCTTGAGATGCTAGCTTGTACAGTGCTGCTACTCATATCACTATTAGTTAGCCAGCTTAGTACAATTCAGTAGATTATTCAAGTCTCACTTACCTGCCTTCAGCTGAGCTTCACATGAGGGGACTCACAGGAAGGAGTGATGTGAGGTTGCAATGTTGCGCCTCATTGGCTGGCAGCTGGAGTTTCCGGATGCTGAAGATGACTTGCTGTGATTAGGAGAGGTGAGTAAGGTATTGGTAAATTACAAGGCCGATATCAATTATCAGAAATATTGACTCTAATAATCGACAGAACCAATAATCAGTCTATCCCTAATTGTTGCTGGAAATGGATGATTTGTTTTAATGGAATAGCTACATAGGCATACAGAGGCCTATTATCATCAGCCATCTGTCATGTGTTCCAATGGCACATTGTGTTTGCTAATCCACGTTTATCATTTAAAAAGACTAATTGATGATTAGAAAACCCTTTTGCAATTATGCTAACACAGCTGAAAACTGTCAGTTAAATAAGTAATAAAACTGGCCTTTATTAGACTAGTTGAGTATCTGGAGCATCAGCATGTAGGTTCGATTACAAGCAATGATGGCCAGAAACAACGAACATGCTTCTGAAACTTGTCAGTCTATTCTTGTTCTGAGAAATCAAGGCTATTCCATTCAAGAAATTGCCAAGAAACTGAGGCTCTTGTACAACGATATGTACTACTGCCTTTACAAAACAGCGAAAAATGTCTCTAACCTTCATGGAAAGAGGAGTGGGAGGCCCGGTGCACAACTGAACATTAGAATATGTAGTTTGAGAAACAGCTGACTCACAGGTTCTCACCTGGCAGCTCCATTAAATAGTACCAGCAAAACATCAGTCTCAACGTCAACAGAGAAGAGGTGACTCTGGGATGCTGGCCTTCTAGGCACAGTTGCAAAGAAAAAGTGAAATCTTAGACTGAGCAATAAAAAAAAAATATTAAGATGTGCAAAAGAAGTCAGACACTGGATGGGGGGAAATTGGAAAAAGTTTTATGAACAGACTAAACTGAGCTTGAAATGTTTAGATCACAAATTCATGAGACGTAGACCAAATGGAGTAGTACTTAACGCTATCTGTCAAACATGGTGGAGACAATAGATGGTTTGGGGGTGCTTTGGTTGTAGTAAAGTGGTATACTTATGTAGGGTTAATGGGACTGTGAAGAAGGAAAGATATCACTCCATTTTGCAATGCAATGTCTGTGGTCAGAGTTTGATTGGAGACAATTTTCGTCTACCACAGGACTATGACGCAAAGCACAGCTCCAAACTATGCAAGAACTATTTAGGCTGTTGTGGGAGCATGGTACATAAGAGGTACCTATCGAGCCTATCCAATTTGTGGTAGGTTCTTTAGGAAGCATGGGGTGTAAATATCTTCAGATTACCTCAACAAACTGACAACTAGAATGCCGACGCACTCCAAGAATAGGATGGACGTTTTTGACAATATTCACCAAAAGAGGATATGGCGTCTTATTCTGTGGATCGGAAATGACGTCACACGCCATATATGTTTTACGATGATATCGTTGGTGAAAGTGCATTTTTTTTGTATTTTTCACACACAAATGGCACTTTGACTGACAATATAATTGTTGTGATACATTTTACTGTTTTGAAACACTAATATTTGTGTTCCGCGGAGTCTCGCGAGTAAAACCGAACTCTCCATGTACAGGTTTTATATTTTTTTCCAAAAGTTAGAGAGTCAAATATAAGGCTTTTATTTTTTCCTTTTTTTTTTCATTGAAATTTGCCAGATTGGTAATGTTGCCTTTGAGACCATATGGTAGCCCAGGAATGAGAATTACCCTC